CCGCGGACCCCGCACCAGCCCCGAAATGCATCGCGGTACTGTAATGCGAATAAGATATTTTGTTTAGGAGATCGGTAACATGTCGCGAATTTAACACGACGCGTTAAGAGAAGCGTCGATAGCGATTTTTTTTCTAAGAAGTGATAGGTGACATATCGCCGATGCTGCGACCCAATAAGGGGTGAACAAAGGGACAAAGAAGTTTCAAATGGAATATATAATGGGTCATCAGCGAGCGGTACCTCAGTTCGTGCCCTGTATGATTACCGAATCGATCGAGATAAGTGTAACGTGAAAAGTATGATTGACCATCTTGTGAATGTTGAGGACGTGGACGTGGACGATGTAGAGTTTGAAAATATCGGAAACATTGAGGACATAGCCGAGTTTATTAGAAACGTGGATGAGGAAAAATTCGCGAATATCAGAGACGAAGTATTCGAAGTTATTGATGAAATGGAAGTAGATTTCGCAGAGATAATGGACCAAGATTCCGACGAAGAAGTGCTATCCGACGTTACGGGTTTTGCCAGTGACGCGAGCGAATACGATACGGATCTTGACGAAAAATTTGTGTCATCTCAGGAAATCCGTGCACTAAACGGCCGTACCAAACACTGCATGATCCAGTCCTACTACACAACGGGTGGTGCTTTAATTGTATGTGCAGCATGCATGGTCCTTTTGGCTGACATCGACACTGTGGGAATGTATTTTATAAAGAAGCATAATATCAATTATATTGATGCGTTAAATGGTCGATCTTGTACGAATTACCGAGTGGCAATGTACACTATATATCCATGCAACAAGTGTCCACAGTGCACAAATTAAAAAACTATTGCGAACAATATTATGAACGAAACATGGATGTACGGTATTGTGAACGAATCATAGATATACGGTATACTAGAAAAGATGCGATACGCGTTCTAGGAAAATCCGCGACAGAGAGAGACACAAGTGTGCGAATATCATCGGTGGAATTCCTACGCGATCGAGAGTTAGGAATATGCGGCCAGCATGTCATGGAACGGGCAAAAATTTGCCATCAACCTGTTCATTTCTGGCCTTTATTCGCGCAACAGAAAGTGTACACGCGGTTATACAACAAACATTGCGAGAATGATGACTTTGAAAATAGATATAAAACTCGCAGTTTAACAGATAACGACTTTTTTTGTGTGTCAAAATCGCGATGGAGACTGTTTATCATTGCTACAGGAACATTACGATTCCCGCGGGTGGTGAAAAAATAGCCAATTTGTCGATAGGCGGTGATGCAAGTATGCTAAATTGCTACCACGAGACCTACTGTTGGGAGGAAGGCCCTGCTTTAAAAAAATATATATTTTTCATAACACATGTGAAGGTGAATACTTTCAGTGTGATCCATGCCGTTCCGCATTAAAAAAATATCACATAGCACGAAGGTACTATACAATTATAGATATGGAGCGGCGGTGCAACGTTTGTGAACGAGTCATGTGCAAGTGTTCCTTGGAAGAGTGCAACGTGATCTAAAAATAAAAAAAAAGACATAGAAAATCATGAGCGAGTGGAACGCGAACTGCTGGAGCAGTGCGACCAGATCGCCACTCTGGCGGAATGTTTCGCGTGGCTGCAACGATGCGACGAGTGCATTGAGCGGCTCGAAGAACTTTGTCGTGCCAAGCGTCCGCGCCTCACCATTGGACATAGACAATCCGCGGTGGCGAGGATCGCGCGATTCGCGAGTGCAAAGTCGCAATTGGAGCGACGTTGCGTACACGTTGGTGGCGAGTACGCGGGTACGCGAGTGGCAACGAGCAATCTCTCGTATGGCGAGAGATCGACGTCGCCTTCGAGAGTCGTATAGTAACAGGCGCGGTGATAAACTCTAATCACATCGAGCCGCGACAGTTTTTGGAAGACGCTGGCAATATAGTGTTCGAGCGAGTGCGAGACGTTGTAGAAAGACACGACAGTGTAAAAGTGAACGCCGCGTTCAACGGTGAGTTCGCGACGAAGGATAAACGTGCTACAAGAGCATTATTAAGAAAAACAATGAGATTTATTGATGCACCGATATACGCGAGTGGTACGAACGGCACGTCGTCGAGCCTACCTTGACATCGCTTGAAGAGTTCCAGGAACGCGACAGTGGGTGGGCGCTGTCGCGAATCCACAACTTGATTGTTAACGAGAACAAATTAAATCCCATGCACGAGGGATGTTACATCGAACTGCCGCGAGCAATTATGTTAAAGAAGGCGGTGATCAGTGTGCGTACGACGGACAATGTGTTCTTCGCGTGGTCGGTGGTAGCTGCTCTGTACTCTGCAGAAAGATATGTGGATCGGGAATCATCGTACCCGCATTACATTGCAGTGTTAAATCTCGCGGGTCGAGTTTCTAATGACATTAAAAGACATCCGAAATTCGAACATTTGAACGCGGTGTCGATCAATGTATACGGCATTGAAAATGGACAGGTCTTTCCTCTACGCCTTACCGGTGACAAGAAGGAGAAGCACGTCAACATGCTGCAAGATCCACGCAACGACGGTGTCGCCCACTTTGGATGGATAAAGAACCTATCACGCCTCGTGAGAACGCAACTCACAAGAAAGGAGCATAGGAAATATTTCTGCGACCGATAAGTATAAGAAAAGTAAATATAATAAGAAAAAAATAAAAAACAATATGTGGAAAAAAATAATTTCTCTATTTACAGGTGTCTTCACTATTTTGGATCGAGCCAAAGATTGCAGACGCACGAAGTGGATTGCCAAAAACTGAACGACTGCGACATCCGCCTGCCGAGGGCGGGCGACAAGTGGCTCGAATTCAGCAACCACCGCAACCAGGAACGAGTGCCATTCATCGTCTACGCCGACCTGGAGTGCGTCCTGCGGAAAACGGAGCCTGACAAGGTAGATGTGCCGACGTCGTATGCGTATCAGCGACATGATGCGTTTAGTATAGGATACTACGTGCACTACTCGTACGATGACGCATTATCATCGTATCAATTCCGTCGCGATAACGATTGCATCACGTGGTTCGCGCGACAACTCAACAATTTGGCGCATCGCCTAAAAGATATCATATCCGCCTAAAAGATATCATATCCGCCAACGTGCCCATGGAAACGTTATCTAAACAGCAACAGGAGGCGTACCGCAGCGCGACGCGTTGTCACATCTGCGGGAACTGTTCGCGCCGGATGACACCGAGTCCGCGATCATTGTCACTTAACCGGTAGATACCGCGGTCCAGCGCATTCCAATTGTAACCTAAATTATAAAAATTCGCTGTATATTCTGGTTGTATTTCACAATTTATCGGGGTATGACGCGCACTTTATAATTAAAGAAATTGCTACCGCGTACGATGGAAATGTAAATCTCCTTCCTAACGAAGGAAAAATACATTTCGTTTGCGAAACATGTCGATAGCACCAAAGACAAAAATGAAAAGAATTTTCAGAAAAGTTGTGTAAAATTAAGGTTTATTGATTCCTTCAAATTTCTAAGTGCAAGCCTCGATAAATTGGCGTCGTATCTCGACAAAGATAAATTAAAAATTGTACGTTCTAAATTTTCAACTTTGTCGGAAGAAGAGTTTGAATTACTGACTCGTAAAGGTGCTTTTCAGTACGAGTACATTGACTGCACTGAAAAATTGCAGGACACGCACTTACCGCCGCACGAATTATTTTTCAGTTCATTAACGGGCGATACAGTATCCGAGAGCGATTACGCTCACGCCGTGAACGTATGGCAGCGATTCTCTATTCGAACGTTCGGCGAGTACAGCGATCTATACTTGAAAACCGATGTCTTGTTATTAGCTGACATTTTCGAAAATTTCCGCAATAGTTGTGTTGCGAGTTACGGTCTCGATCCCGCATTATTATACACTACCAGGTTTCACGTGGGACGCCATGCTGAAACATACGCGCGTAAGATTTGAGATGCTCACCGACATTGATATGGTCATGTTCATCGAACGCGGTATACGCGGTGACCTCAGTCGATGTTCCTCAGTCAGATACGCGCAGGCTAATAACAAGTACATGCGTTCGTACGACTCATCGAAACCGTCGTCATACCTTATGTATTACGACGTGAATAATCTGTACGAATGGGCGATGTGTCAGCCTTTGCCGTACGCCGAATTTCGATGGGTCGAAGACGCTGCGAACTTTGACGTGAGTGCGATCGCTCCGGATTCATCCACAGGTTATATTCTCGAGGTCGATCTCGAGTATCCACAGCGTCTGCACGACCGACACACTGACCTACCGTTCTGTCCGATGCGCAATAAGCGGCCCGGCAAGCGCGAGGATAAACTTCTAGCGACGCTGTACGATAAGCAGCGTTACGTCATCCACTACCGCAACTTGCAGCATGTACTCGTCACGGTCTTCTCGTAACAAAGATCCACCGAGTATTACAATTCGCTCAATTCGCCTGGCTCCGCGATTACATTGAACTTAATACGCAGTTTAGAACGCGCGCGAAAAACGATTTCGAAAAAAATTTGTACAAATTAATGAACAACGCGGTATTCGGGAAAATTATGGAGAATGTTTGAAATCACCTCGACATAAAATTATTAACAAAATGGGACGGGCGATACGGCGCGGAGGCAATGATCGCGGAACCGAATTTCCACAGCCGTCTTTGCGGAAAATTTGATCGCCGTCGAACTGCGCAAACTCGAGGTGAAGTTCGACAAGCCGATT